GAAAATTTGGCAGCATTTACCACAAATCACAATAAGTAAGTTCCTTTGAGCTAAAAACTCCATTGATGGCATTTAAACCTGCAGAAAGACATGTATCTAGAGAACAGTAGTGTCCAGAGGTTCCATATCACACTGATTCTGGCTGGAAAAGGGAATTAAATAAAAATGTCATATCAGACCAGTTATGCTATTTCCTGCATCTCTAATACAAAGCTGGCCGCGCCCCCCCCCCCCATTTTTAGTGATTGGGTCTTACACATCGCACAGGGCCTCAAACAGTTCTTCCTGTGTAGCAAAGGATGACCTCGAACTCTGATCCTTCTCCTGCCTCTACACCCTACTCCATAGCTCAAACCCTCGTCTGGGAATGCTGGGATTGTTATAAAACTTGGGGGTTACAACCTGTGTTCGAAACTAGAACTCCATAAGCCAAATAAAAGAGACAACTTAAAAGCAGAAAGCAGGTTTACTCAATGTAAAAACATGTTTTCCTGCTTCACCAAGTATAGAAAAAAAGCAACTGAAACGGGCAAGCTAAGGCAGAAAGAAGAAATGCCCCTGCAGTGAAATGACTCCAGCAGCTGCTGGGAACATTCACCTTTACCCTCCACTAGGAGTCAGCTCACTTTGAGGGACAGACACCCACAAAGTGTCTTAATCTTTTCATGATCACCATTTTTTTGTTTCTCAGTATTAATTTGGCTCTTTTGATTGGTTTATTGAGTTCACATGGCCAGACCTGACTTGGGGCAAAGATTATGACCCCCAGGTAGAATAACAGGATTACATACATGCAACACAGCCCCACTTTATACTGCGCTTGGTGGGGGAGGTCAATCCAGGGTTCTGTGCATGCTAGGCAAACACTCTACCAACTGAGCCACAACCTGTCATATAAAGTATTATTTTATGTAAGAGCATGGGACAAGGTCTGCAGCCACGGCTCAGTGTGAAGGACACATGTTGTTCTTGCAGAGGACCTGGATTCAGTTTCCAGCACCCACAGGGTACCTCACAAACATCCATGGCTCCAGTTTCAGGGGGTCCAATGGTCTCTTCTGACTTCTGTGAGCACTATACACACATTGTGAATCTACACACTCATATACGTAAATACATGTAATAAAAATAAAATTTCGAAAAGTTATTTTTAAAAAGTGGGATAGATCTCTATGTACAAATATGTTAGGATTGCTCCACTATATATTTCTTTGGGATGGCTCAGACTATAAAGACACTTGGCACCAAGAGTGATGATCTGAGTTCCATTCCCAGAACCCACGTGATTGTAAGAGAGCACAGACCCCTACAAGTTGTCCTCTGATTAGTATTTGTGTGCCATGGCATAAGCATACCCACACAAGTACCACCCCCTCCCACACACAAATAAATAAATAGCAATTAAAATGAAGAGAAGATAAGGGTAACTGAGAGTCTGGATATAAATCTATGATATTAACCAATTTTCACCAATGGGTCCAAAAACATCAATCTTTTCAAACAATGGTGTTGGGGCATCTACCTGCCCACATGCAAAACAACACAGGTAGAACCCTCCTTTGCCATTTACATTCACTCAGAGTACAACACAGACTAAAGACAGCACATAATCCATTAAGACCCCTTAAAAGGAAGCAGAGATACAAATTTGTGTGGTCTGGATTTGGCAATGATTTCCTAAGGATGACAATCAAAGCAGAGGAAACAAAGAAAAACCATCAAAAAAGTTTCTGTGTAAAGGAATACAATTGAAGAAGCGGAGGCTACGTATAAACTAAAACAGGTTTGCAAACAACATGCGTGACAAAGCTCTTACCACCAGAACACACAAATAACCTCACAAGAGAGTTTACAATAGGAAAATATTTACAGGGGCTGGAGAGGTGGCTCAGAGGTTAAGAGCACTGGCTGTTCTTCCAGAGGTCTGAGTTCAATTCCAGCAACCACATAGTGACTTACAACCATCTATAATGAGATATGGTGCCCTCATCTGGTGTGCAGTGTGCAGGCAGGAGGAACATCGTATAAATAATAAATAAAAAAAGAAAATATTTACAATATAACAAATATTTATATATAATTCATATATATATAAAATAAAAATTATTTAAAGAAAATACTTGAGAAAACTGCATTCTTCGGGAATGAGTGAGTATCAACAAGAACAGTACCTATATGTATGTTTGTAAATGGATGAGAGGCTGTCTTACTATATTTAGCATATGGATATAGGCAACTGTTCAATGAAAAAATGATACGTGATGTTGTGAAAGACTGGGTGCACATAGATGTAAAACATACAACAGTAATGTAAAAGTGGGCAGAATCATTAGGCACATGAAATGACCTGAGTTCAGTAGTTTATGGTTGAACAGTCTTATTTGAAGCCTGAAATTACTTTCCTTTTTTTAAAATTTTGAGATAGTATTAACTTAGGTAAACATTCCACCTAGTGCCTAAAACTGGGCTTTTAAACTTTGCAGATTTTAATATTCGAGATGATCATCCAATAAATCGATGCAAATATCCCCAAATCTGAGAACACTTCTTGCCTCAAGCATTTTGAATATGGGATAATTATTTGTGTGTGAAGTTCAGGGCATAGGTAGAAATATCAACATTACGCTTTCTGACCTATTTTGCTGTAACCCCAAAACTGGTCTAGAACAAATGTATGTATAATAATTTGAAATCTACGTGATTACTGTCCCAGTGCCTGTCACACAGCTTCTACCCTCTAAATTCCTGAATATTATTCTTTTATTGTTTATAATAGTCAGTTAAGTTTCTAATGACTGGTTTTATGGTGGGAACCTGGCTAGCCTGGAAGGACCAATTGAGAATTTGAGGCTACTCACATACCTCCAAAAATGGGAACAGTGGCCGGGCGGTTGTGGTGCACGCCTTTAATCCCAGCACTCAGGAGGCAGAGGCAGGGGAATTTCTGTGAGTTCGAGGCCAGCCTGGTCTACAAGAGCTAGTTCCAGGAAGCCTCCAAAGTTGCAGAAAAACCCTGTCTCAAACCTCCCCCTCAAAAAAAGTTTAAAAAAATGGGAACAGTAAAGATTCAGTCCTATACAAGCCAGCAAGGGTGTTGGATGAGCTTTCAGGTATTCTAATATACAGAGAAGGTGGCACCCTCTAAGAGGGTATGGGGGCTTCAGGCACAAGAACCCTGTGTGCATCTCTTCTACTTGGTAGTTCCTGAGAAGCACCCTTTGTAACAAACTGGTGACCTGAGGAGAGCAGCCTGACAGACCAGGGAGGTGAGGAGAGCCCTGACAGAGACCAGGGGAGGTGAGGAGAGCCCTGACAGACCAGGGGAGGTGAGG